CCGGCCCCCCGGGCCCCTAAATCCCCGGCTTCGGGGGCGTCCAGGTTTCGGGGGGCGGCAAGGAAGGCTTCGGGGTTTCCCCCCCTGCCCTTGGGAGTTCAGCCCCCCTTCCCCAACCCGTCACCCCGCGCGACCCTTGGGCGTCGCCTTCCGCGCGTCGCCTCGGGGGGGTGGCCGCGCGTGAATGCTCCTTGGACGCGAGGGGCGTGGCCCGCGGTTCTTCTTAAAAGGCCGGGTCCGCGGCCGCGCGACGGAAGGGGACGTCGCGGTCGGGCACTGTGGCTTTCTGGCGGCAGCTGCCGGGCCGAACCGGACCAGACGCTGCACGAGTCGGCGGCTGGCGCGGTTTCGTCCTCGCTCGCTCCGTCCGCGTTCCGGGAGCTGCCCCGCCCCCGGCCGGAGCGGGACCCCAGGGCCTCGGGCGCCCTCGCGGGCCCGGACATCTCCGCGCTCAGTGCCGTGGCCTCGGGGGGATGTTGCCGCGTCTGCTCTCCGCGGGACCGGGCGGGCGGCAGGCTCCGTACCGACGAGACGGTCTCAGTCGGTTCCTGGGGGTCTTGTCGCCGTCGTGGGAGCCCATGGGGGCCCCTCGAGCTCGAGCTGGTAGCGTCCCCGGACAAAGGGCCCGGGTGCGGGGGTGTCCCCACGGCCGGCGCGCGGCTTACTTCCTCCCCGGCCCCGCGGGAGCGCTTCCTTCCTGGCTGATCCTGCAGCCGCCCCGACACGGTCACCTCACCGCTGCCTCTGGCCGCCTGGCACCCACAGCCACATGCAACCCGCCTGCACGGAACCCCCCCCCGCCCCCCGCGGGTGTAATCCGGTTCGGGACTCGGTCCCCGGGAGGCCCCCATCGCCTCCTATTGTTGGGGCCAGGTGAGCAGCTCATTTCCCAACTAGATTGGGATTCACCGCCTACTCCTAGGGTGCGCCTCCCGGGACTGGAAATCGGGGGATCTAATTCTGGCCCAAAGGCAACCCCCCGCCCCATGGCTGACAGCGGGCAACGAAATTCCGAAAAGCAAGCTGTTGTCTCCCAGAGCATTCCAGCTGCGCTTTGATTTCGTTCCCCTGCTTCTCCTGCCTGAAGCAGCGTCCTTGAGACCAGAAAGCGGAGAGCGGATCCCCGACCCCAGACAACACCTTCCCTTGGGCCGCACCTTCTCCCAGGTGCGCCCTCGGGTTGGAAGGCACGGGAGCCGCCGGAGAGCCTGGGCGGGGGCCACCTCCCGAGCCGGGGCAGCCTGGGTGAAGGCGGGAGAGCAGACCCAGGCCTCCGGACAGGGCCGGCCCAGCCCGCAGCTCGCTCAAGGTCGCCCTTCACGTCCTGGGGACAAGCCGCTCCACGTGCCGAGAGGAGCTGAAGCCCCCAGCTGGTCCCCAGCGCCGACCCTGCCGACAGCTGCCCGGAGGCACGCGCTGCTGCGTGGAAAGAGCGTCGGAATGACACGACCCGAGCAGCCGTTGGGGCGGGCGGGGGGCTGAGGCCCGCGCCGCCGAGGGACGGGCTCGGCCAGGCGCTGCCGCCCCTGGGCCCCTCCGGAGTCCGGCACTCGCTGCTGCGGGCAGAGCGCGCGGTTCTCGGGCGCCCTGTGCTGCGTCGGTTTCAGTTTCATTCGGGGGAAAAGGGGGGAAGTTCCTCTGAAGCGGAGACAGGCAGGTGCCATCGCGGAATGAGAAAGACGACGGCGGGAGCGGAGGCCCCGGCAACGGCCACCGGGTTCAAGGAAAACGCCTCCCGACCCGGAACCCACCCCGTCCCCGTGGCCGACTCCTCCGGGCCCACGCGGGGAAGTGGGTAGTCCTACCCGCGGGCGTTTGTCGGGAAGAAAGGACCCGTGGCCCAAAGGAGGAGACGCCTGCAAACAGCCTGAAGCCGCAGCACAAACGCCTGTCACGGGGCGGCTGTGGGTGGGAGCTGCCCGGCTGGAGACGCTCGTTTGGAACCTGTGTTCGTGCGCACAGCGAGGGGCGAGGCTCAGGGCGCAGAGCCCCCCAGTCACCAGGGTCCTCCCCGCCGCTGGGACCGGGTTGGCACCAGAGGCCCAGGCCCAGGCCCAGGGGAACCCCGAGATGTCGGACCCAGGACAGGCGGGCCACGGCGGTGCCGTCCACCGGTTCCCCTCCGGTGCACCTGCCACTCGGGGCCGGATCCCGCCCCCTCAGTCGCTCTCCCGGAAGCTCGGCCTCCATCACCTTGCTTCCGGTTCCGCTCGCGCCCTTCCGGTCCCTATGGCG